GTCACGCTGCTGATTCGTCAAAAAATAAAACATGTGATAATAATATTCACCTGTGTTGATTATAATGTGATCATACTCTGACAGGTATTCAATCTCTGGCTTCTGAGATGACTCGCACTTCAACACTTTGTTGTGGTCCTCCTCCTTGAACGTATAACGGAGGGTCGAAACTGTGTCAAAAGTACCGTCCCGGTTGTCTTCAAACTCTTCGGTGCCACCCTCGATCTCTCTGTTGTCAAGGTACCATATCAGCTCCGCTTGAGGGCGCCCACTACGTGCTTCGCATTTCATGTCGGTAGGCTCGCCGTGTTCGACGTACACGTAGTCCCCAGTGTAGTAGCCGAAGATGTCCACATCGTACACCACCTCTTTAAAATGAAAAAGAGAAGACATGAGTGAATATCATCGTATATACAAAAAATGATTTTAATATCTTCCTACGATTATTAAACCGGATTTATTTTAACACGTCTGAGCAAGTCGGAGTAATTTGTAGTATAGACTTATCTACATAATTTATTAAATGATATATAGCATAATTATATTTTATTATTATTCAACATATATATTATGTGCAATAACAATCACGTATATGTGATAACAGATGTGTTGTTGAACATGTTGAGATAGGTCAATAAAAACACGAATAAAAACGATATGCTACTATGGACTTACTGTATACTTCTAGTTGCGTGGTGGCGCTACCTTCATCTTTTACCACGTAGTAATCGACGTCGCACGTGAATGTACCGGTGTCTTCTACTTCTAGCCTCGTGATCCTCAGATCTCCCTGTGAGCCACTGATACTCGCTCGTCCAGAAAACTGACCGTAAGATGTTTCTGAACCAGTGCCCTCTTTCACCAATATCGTTTCGGTTTCCGATCCCCACTCTGGCGTGAAATCCCACGTGATGACGTACTGACTACCGCCATCAGCCGGCGCTGTGTACGAGCACTCCAAAGTAATTGATTCTTCCTCTAGCCCCTCGTGTAAAGCTTGCGTCGTTACACTCAAACCATGTGCAGTGTAAGAAACTGCAAACAAACAAACAAACCAAAATTGTATTATTGGACCTGGATTTATAATTTTGTCATTGTTTTATAGACAGGAGAAAACTCTCGTCTTTTGTTAGTAATACTGTTAGTAAATACCATAAATGAAAGTTTAATGTCGCCGCAAACATGAAGTCCTGGTCCTAAATAAATTTTGGTTTGTTGTTGTTGGAACACAGGACAAACACACTTTGAGCACACAAAAAGTCATGCGCAGCAGACATTTTGCAGTAAAAGGCGTCTGTCTCGATCTGAGCCCACGATACGCGCATCACCGGCGCCACCTATGTTGTAAATTGGTAACGCGATCGGCGCTCAAATGCAATCGCCTGTGGTAAGTTGAATTCAATAAAACAGAATCTAATGAACATAATGATGTATCTCAGTTATGATAACAAGTATTACATTTCGAGGACCGTGACGATTCTTCTAATTGATCGCGGGAGTAGATAAAACGCTGCCACCACAGGTGATAAAAGCAGATGACTTTGTTTTTTTATACGATTTGGGTAAAATGGATACAAACAGTATATATGATTAGTTAGTATGTTAGTATATATTGAGACGTTATTCGGGATAATGCGGAAGATTTAGCTTACTAAAATTAGTTGATGATGATGTAATCTGTAAATAATTTAAGTAGGAGATTTTGTAACTAGTTATTGTATATTTAAATTTATATATTTTTCTGTAAAGGCATTAGTATAAGAATCAACTGTGTTTTCCCCCGCTTTAAATAAAGTATAATAATAATTGTCCACCGAAACGAGTGGGCGGCGTATTTCATTGTTTGCGCATTTACAATTATTGACATAGTCACCACTTTGGTATGCTACATAAGTGTTCAAACTCGTCGGCGTACGGTTGTTATGATTTAAATCTTCAATGTCCCTACCTGGTACTATACAGGTAATCATTAATGCCATCGTATCAATGACATTACTGTAATTGCGATGCTCTGCGCATGTCCTGTGATAGTGTAAAGATAAGAAACTCTACATGCACGCACCGCCTGGTATCTTAGAGGTGCCCCTTGCCGAACCATGTTGCCGTTAATTAATATTGGAAATACGATTTAAAATTACTATTCTGAATGCAACTTGAACGCATTCATTTTCCACTTTCAGAACAACACATGGCAGCTTTGTTTGGGCTATTTTCACGTATTAATTATTATATTGTTACATATTTATATTTCAATTAATGTGCTCAGTGATTGAATGTTGAGCGGGAATTCGTATTTGAGAAGATGGGCAGATCTAAAAAACAATTCTTTAAAAATAATAGAAACCAGAATTATAGCATATATATGTATATAAAACGAAAAAAAATCGTATTACTAGTACCAGATTGCACATTGTCGAAAACATTGAACTTGCTACATACTCAAGTTACAATATCAATGTCGATGACCGTCTGATTTGTGATCCGCAATTTCGGCTCTCGTGCAATACACGTATACATCGAGCGGAAAACAAGCTTCTTTCAGCTAAGAAAGGTAAATTAAATAAATTGGACACGACGACTCGATTTGCGTACTGAACTCTCAGTGTTAAGTTTTAACTGCTCGAATTCAAATACTTTCACTTTTGAAATTTAAACTTATTTATTTGTTTGAACTTGTAACTTTCAGCGTCTAAAATTTGGAATAGAATAATACAGTCTACTAAGGTGCGATATTTTATAACCATGATGCCACGCATTTTAGACAATGAAGACTCGTGAAACTCAGTGTTCTAACCACCTAACTCACCCAGTCACGATGACTGACAACGTGTTGCGCAATCTACTCTACGCATCCTAAGATTACCCATGATGCAGCGTTCACCACATTTCATTGTGCATAGCCTAGTTCATGTTATTAACACTTGAACACACAATTTATTATTTTTGGCAATACTTACAGAATAGTCATTACATTGTCCTCAAATATAGTTGAAATGATTGTTTATTTTAGTAATCTTAGCGTGGGGGCCAGCGTTCAGTGCACAGTGCGTATAAAGTGTGCTCGGCACAGTAACATGTTTACATGGAATTACTCCAACATGTGGTTCCGAGCACTGAACGCGATTCGACATAAATTGTGAAATATATTGTGAAACACGATGGTTTAGCTGTCTTGTTATTTCAGCTAATTTAGCTTCCATGTGCATTCGCTAACAATTAGTAGCTAATTCAACAAGTGGCTATTCCAGCAAAAGTCAATTTGTATGATGGTACTGACGTTATTTTAAATTGTGTTTCTGCTAATGCATGCTTTGCGCCGAAATTAGGTACAATAATAAGCTCTTGAATGTGTAACAGGTACCGCAGGTAACACGGTAGATCATGGACGCCAACGCATTCCCCACTTGTAACACATATACGCATGCGTATAAATGTGTGTTTCATTTTTAGATTCACTCGTAGATTGCTCACATGTATGGAATTCAAATAACTAACACGTTTTTACTGTAATCTAGATGGCAGTGCACTGACCATACACGGACAAATAGATGACGTCATTTCAATGGCTAACTTTTTCAAGATAACATATCGATTTCACCCGCGTCCTCGTCCGATTTCACGTTGATACAATTTTAGTTGATGTCAAGTGATTATTTTTTCCCAGAAAGCTTAGCGAGTTTGACAAAGCGTGGGACTATAGTTACTCGGCTGCAGTGACGTAATTGAATTATTCGCATCATCCATTTATATCCCCTGTGGAAGATTTTTGGCGGGAAGATTTGTGCACATTAATATGTAAATTTACTGCGACATAGGTTATTCTATAAAATATTAACTATTATTTTTGATCTTAAACTTTAAAAAGTTTCTTTTTTCTTTTCTTCAGTGAATGGAATATGATTTATTTCACCATGATTGTCATGCATTTAGCCTCGCTTTATTGAATTCGTGTCAATCTCGACTTGATATGTTATCATTTACGTGTGTATACGATCAAATTATACCAAACATAACCTGACCTTTGTAAATCACAGATCGAATTATGAACCTACAAGAACAAACAGTACCTGTAAAGTTTAAGGTGCTTTTGAAAAATAAATTAATCTAATATTTTAAAAACCTAGGTTTGTTCCGCGCGGGAAACGTTATTTTCAAATACTAGTGTTTAAAAATTGACGCATTTTGAGCGACCCGAACGTTAGCCTCTACTTGACATCCGCACTAGTGTAACTCATCGCCACCGCCACCGCCATGACGTGACATGCCACAAATATAACTACTTATAACGTTGAATCGCAATTGCCTCTCAGTGCATACCTGGGACACATTCAAATATCAGCGCCGACAATAAAAAAAACACATTTTAATGGAGCGACGTATAACAAATTCATTGCTTTGACAATATAATAGTGTTACAGCTCAGCCGCCAAAGCACATAAAACTACTTTACAATAAGTAACTAATTATTATTCAAAACCGCACCTTTTTTATCACTGATATCTTCTAAGTACATACAAACGATTTTTTTCATAATTTTATTTTTTAGTTATTTCTTCACTGTTTTCTTTTAATTTGACGTTCTATAACGACAAATTTGCTGCCGATCGTTGCACTGGGTGATTTATATGTTCTTTTCATAACTTGTTTGCTTCATCAAAGCGATATAGTACGTGTCATGTACAATGTCTGGGGTCCACAAGTCCAAAAGGTTACGCGCCATTTTTGTTCGGTACCGCATGTGTGCAACAAGTGTTTGGTCTTAAAGCCAGACTGGTTATTTTCTGGTACAACGCATTTAAAGACTCCTCCTGCGAAATTTCGTTTATAGAAAAAAATAATCAAAACACTGTAGGCATGTAGGCAATAAACTGTATGCTTAAATTTATAAAACTGTTTTCATCAGTTTTACAAGTTTAAGATAGAAGTAAATTTAAAACAAGAAGCGCGACACCTGTAATTATTTTTTGGTTAAATAATTGACAACGTGTGATTCGACTTACCTGTTAAGAACACGAGAAGTGCGGTGAGTTTTGTCATCGTGATAGAATAAATTATGGAATCCCAAATAGCAGTTGTGGGTAACGTGTGTTCGGAACTGAGGACGTTTCTATCTCTGAAGCTGTTCTCTTATCTGCAGTATTTGTACCACTCCGCCGCCCCCGACGGAAATAGTCCCGCTTGTTTAAACTAAAGGTAACCGCGAACTTTATCCGATGACGTCAGCTTTAAATTTAGAAAAGACTTTCTGGACGTCCTGTCGTGTGAAATAATTTACATTCTTCTAGTCATTGCCACTGAATGAATCAAGGTGTGGTTTGATTTGGTGTAACAGCGGCGGATTGATTTGCAATATTTCAGCTCTAGGCTCGACATAGCTGTACCACGTGATAACTGCCATTTTGTAAATTATTAATATCAACAACAGATGGTTATCTTGTTTGAAATGTTTTTTTAACGAATCTTGTCGTATTTCAGTTCAGAAGAAAACGAAGAAAAAATCCCGGAAGCATTAAAAACACAACAGTCTTAATTTGCAGTCCTAAATTAACATTGCTAGCCAGAACAGACTACAACTCGTTCTACTGTGTTGATCCATCTACCGTCCATGTTATCTGGTTTGTTGTTTGAAGGACATTAATATGACCCCGTCAAAGACAAGCACTCCTCGCAGTCATTATGAGTATAACTATTTGCGACCAGATTAATGATAGTTTTAATTCATTTGAACCAAACATAGAAATAAAACACAACTTTAAACGGATAATTCAACTATAGACAAAGACTCATTTTGGATTAAATATAAATAAACGACCAATTTTGAATGTGCACAACTAAAACAAAATGCAGTTCCTGCCCACGGTTTTCAAGGTTGAACTTTACTCCATATATTCAAAATTACCACATTTTACATTGATTACTCTTCACATTGTTGTTTGTAATTTCCTTCGATTGTTATCATCGATGTGCCCACTTAATCAACTGCTTTGCTGTTGCTGTTTCGTCACGTCCTGATACGGCCTCGCCGTGACCTCGCGCCAGAGCACCCTGTGCATGACGTCACCGTCTCTATGACGAGGCGCGGACGAAGGGTCCACATATTACACCCGTTGATCATTCACATTAAGTCACTGAAGTCTACAGGGTATAAACACTTTAGTGGCTGACAAGGTACCTGTTTAAATATATGTATCTGATGAATATAGCATTAAAGAGTGACCTTTAGTTCTTACAGGAGACCGCCAATTGACCAGACAGTGAGTACACTGGGTATACACCACAAAACAGAATTGAAACTCAGATTTATCAAGATGTACGGGCAATTTACACAAGAAAGATATATTCAACTCTAAGTTATTCTACTCTAAACCCGAGGTCTTGAAGTATACAAAGCGCGGTAGTCGTCACGGAGCGCGCGTTCGAATACCGTGGATACAAGCAATGCATTTTACAGGCGTTGTGCTTGTCGTGTGGGACCCATATAGAAGGCGTTGAGATGCAACAACTGTAGTTAATCTCACTGTCACATAACTTCAGGTTTCCTTTGACCAATCGGACAAACTTAGCGGAGGGTTATGATAAGTAGAATGCGCAAATATTTCCAAATTTTAAATGGCGGTCACTTTTGCGTCTCCAAAGATAATATACCAAATGTGGTGAATCTTTCAGGCGGAAACAAAAATCCCTTTAATCAGTCAACCAATCAAACGACTGACTGTTACTTCAATAAATCAATCAATTAAACAAGTTTCCCAATAATACGATATTCACACTGTAATTTACATTCCCTAATTAATTATATCATATACCGATACCCGATATCATATACCGAGCTGGTAAATCCGTGTCTAGTATTATTAACTAATGTGAGGAAAAAAAAAAAAAAACGTGTTGCTCATAAACACAACGTAGCTTGTTACAAATCTTATCCATGGAAAGATTACAGGAGGTAAAGAAATGCATGTCAACGACTAAATGTTTTTATTTATTTATAGTTATTTATCCACAATTATACAGTATGCTATTGTATGAACGGTGGCGGTTATATTGGACTAAATGCGATTGGTATAAAACTATACTATATAAAATTATATATCAACTAGCTCTATTGCCTGATATCCATCATACTGGTTTTATTGCCAACTTTCAATCGTGCTGGCTTAATATGTCAACCATGGTTTTAGCATGCCATGGCGTGGTATATACGATCAGTTGTTTCGTAAAATAACTTCTATTTCAATATATGAACTCAAACCTTTCTGCTATTAAATATCTTGACATTTGTCTACAGACAATTAGTGTAGAAGGTATGCGAGCCTACACAAGGGCATAATAGTATATGGAAACAAACTGCTTGGCTACAATGAAATATATGACTGAACGCAGAAATGTGTTTACCTTGATTTACTTTTGTGAATTTTGATTAAAAAACGTTACGGTTATGATTTATTAAGTGTAAGTGTTTATAATATTGAAAAGTGTTTATTATGAAAACAAATTGTAGTGTTTTTGTTGCAACATTTTGCGGGTATGTTTTTGTACATAACACATTATATAAAGTGTTTCCATCAGAAACACGTATTAAAAAGTGTTCATTTATCATAACACTTTCAAACGTGTTCCTGTGTTTCCACCGGTAACATGTATTGAAAAGCGCTTATTATCACAACACTTTTAAAATTGCTTTTACTTGACAAACATGCTGAAAGGTGCTTTCACTGGAAACATGTACATATATTGAAAAGTTTTCATAATCACAACACTTTTAAAATTGTTTTTACTAGACACACATGTTTTATAGTGTTTTCACAAGAAACATGTATTGAGAAGTGTTCATTATCCCAACACTTGTAAATTTCAAGTGTTCATGATCGAGACACATGTAATCGTATCTCAACCGCGGAAAAAGTCTTATCACAACACTTTGAGCGGAACGTTCATGCACAACAGAATCTAAACACATATCAACTGATGCATTTGGCGAACTAGCACTTTGTACTATTGCACAGTAATAAAGCTCCTCTGGCACAGAAACAACCAACGATAATCCATACTAATAGGAAAACGTTAATTCCCAATATTAGCAAAATCATTTCGTTCGCTCTTACCAAACCTTAATTTTTGTCCTCGATCCGAAAAAATAATACTATCAAGATCCAGTAAGTAATTTATTACCTTTATTGTCAAGAGAAACGCGATATTTGAAACAGAAATATGCGATTTGTTGTAAAGTAAATATCATTGGAACGTACATGTAATGTGCAAACGAAAATATGATTACACACCGGTAACACGAATTAAATTGCACTTGCTGTGAAAAGACGATGGTCGTCGCGCCGCGCGTGTTCCTGTACAAAGTAAATACACCATGTATTTTGCACGCGTTTTGTACGTCACTATTAGTGCCATATCGAACAGGACGCGGCGCGACGACCACCACCCTTTAACATCTACCCAATGTTTCTATAATCATATGTGATCATGTATCTGATGGATGGCGGCAAGGAAATTATTCAGTGTGGATTTCTCTTGTCCAATAAAGAATGCATTTGAGATAAATTATCTATCTGCCAATCGTACATAATAAAATGAATGCGGATTGCTGAAAACTAAAATTCAATACACGGCTACCGGTGATGGTTCCGTCAATTATATTATACTTCAAGTTTATTTGGGTTAAATCGGGAGATGGGGTCGTCACCTGCGCACGAGCGGCAATTGGGCCCAAAGCGATGATACAAACACACGCTAAAAAGCGCCAATGTAGACGCTTGTTTGTAAAAAAAATGACACGCTATGGCCATCTGACGCATGCGAAGGCGACGACTCCCCGCTTTAACTTCCGGTACCCTTCTTTCCTCAGGCAATATACAAACCATTGGTTCAAGTTGATGTTGCTTCTTTAACGAGCATGCTCCTGATAGTATAATCCAATCGTAGAGTAAGCATGTGCACGACTCATGCTACCAGTTACTTGAACACCGTCGTTTATGAAAGATATCTCACAACATACGTAGCAACCTAAATTATTGTTCAATACTAGTTTTTATTTTTATTATATTTATGGCATCTATAAATAACAGTGAAATAGTTATTATTATAGCTATGAAGAAAGAGAATCTACTATTAAGATAAATTCAGTCATCCAGCATTGATAAGAACACTGTGCATATTTCATTTGTTACTAAACGTATGACTTATTCATAGTCGAGTGTTTTTGGGCTGAAACATCGTTTGGTACTATTGCTTTCTGAAGTGCCCCAAATAGAACTGTTTTCGGCGAACATATTTTGATAACAATTCAAAATATTCTGATATGATTCTACTAAAAACCATTCTCCGCTAATTGCCAAGTATCTCTTTATAAAGTATAAGGTACTTCGTCACGTGTCCTGGTTCCCAGTTGCACTTAGGTTGAAAACTTAGGTAGTAGGTTGAAAAAGCCATAAACGGCCATATTCTTCTACAACCTGGTGTTTGGGTGGTACTGTTAAGTTGCAAACTGTTCTTTAAATGTAATAAAGCCTGAACATCATACAATATAAAAAATATTTCCTGGATAAGGTGAATACGTCACCTTCGGTGGTCGAATAGTTGGGTCAATTAGTTTAATTTTTTTTTTCATTCAATATAGCAAATGGCCGCCACGATTTTCTCGCGGTCAAACGACGACGAACATACTTTATTTACTGCCACTTATCTTCTGACCAAAGTAACCATGTTACTTTGGTTGGGAGAGAACGGGATGCAATGACACTCCAAACACTGGTGGCGCTTTCAGTTCCTCTTCTTTCGCTTCAACTTTCTCCACTGCCGTGTCGTAATTTACATTATATATGGCATAGGTTCTACCTAAATTTCAATCAAATAAAGAATACATACGTATATTTTATACGCCTTTTTACATGTGGCGATGCTCATACATAGAAGAGTATAGTCAGGTTGTATACATGTCACTTATATGCAATAATTGTTGATCTATTTTTTTCAATGTTTGCATGTTTTATGCAAGAAACCTCCAAAACTGTGTACATGGATCTTCCGAACTCAAATGTTAGGAGAAATGCGTATGACAACAATTATTTGAAGTTGTTATATAATAAAATAATGATTTGAAAATTAGTGTGCAACTCGAAGAGCTTTCGAGGTTTCTTTGATCAGGTTCTATTGTGCCCATTTACAAAATATATAGTGTGACGCCAGTGAAAGTGGTTG